CCTCTCGAGAACCGAAAACGGACAAGTCACTGATCGACGTGTCACTGTTGGGGGTTCTGTCCACCCCCGACAACCCGACCCTTCCCCCGCCCCCGCCGGCCATGATCTTGGGCTCGCTGGGCTTGTTCGTGGCCCTCCGCAGCAGGCGGCCCGACGACCCAGGCCTCGCGCCCTCTGCGCCCGGCGAGCCCGGCGGGGTGCCCGCGCGCTGCTCCAGGCCGCCGCCCGCCGCCGCGGCCGCCGAGCCCGCGGGCGTCGCCGCGGAGGGGTCCAGCGCCGCGGCGTCGCCGTCGGGGTCCCGCCCAGCGAAGCGGTCGAAGTGCAGGCGGAGCTCCTCGCTTCGGGCGCGGCCCGGAAGCCAACCCCTCGTTCTCCCAGCTCCCACGGCGCCGCCCTGAGGCCCCCGGCGCCCCGACATGTTCGAGCCTGCCGCGTTCGCCCCGTTCCAGGCCCAGGGGGGGCCCTGACAGATCGATCGGGCTCGAAGAGACCAGCAGAAAGAAGATGAGGTCCGGGGCTCTGGTCGCGAATTTTCGTCGCGAGGTTGTCTTTGTTTCGCAAGGTCTGATCTCAATTTTTCTGTTTGATCTGCTCGTTTTTCCTCGAGATCGGCCGCCTGCGCCCGTTATCGGGCCCCCGGGGCGATCAAGCACAGATGTGGGACGCAGAACCATCGCGTGAGCCCACCAAAGGACGCACGCGCCCAACCACGTACATGAACACGGCCCCCCAATCTGCAAAACTGGCCGCGCGATACAAACGCTCGCGCGATGCGTACTGTCGAAACCGACGTGGATTCGTTTACGTATGCGTCCTTCTTTCGCTCCTGGCACGGGTGGAGCGCACGGTTTCCCCTGGGGCCGCCCCGAGGGGGGGGAGGGGGAGGAGGAGGAGGAGGAGGAGGAGGAGGAGGAGGAGGAGGAGGAGGAGGAGGAGGAGGAGGAGGAATGAGGATGAGGAGGAGGAGGAGGAGGAGGAGGAGGAGGAGGAGAAGAGGAGGAGGAGGCGGAGGAGGAGGGGGAGGAGGAGGAGGAGAGGAGGAGGAGGAGGAGGGAGGAGGAGGAGGAGGAGGGGGAGGAGGGGGAGGGGAAGGATGCGGAGGATGAGGAGGCGGAGGAGGGAGGAGGAGGAGGAGGAGAGGAAGAGGAGGCGGAGGAGGAGGAGGACGAGGAGAGGAGGAGGAGGAGGACGAGGAGGAGGAGGAGGAGGAGGAGGAGGAGGAGGCAAGGCAAGGCAAGGCTCCACTGAGACCGAGGCTCCGACGGTCTGGGGAGAGGATCGGGGTAACCCCCATCAATGCGAGAACTCGGCACTCCCCGACAGGAGGGCGCCAGCGACGGCGCCAGTCGGCGGACGTCGGCGCACGGCCTCACACTCCCAAACAGCTGCTGCACTGACACTCAACTTTGGGGCAAGCAACGCCTGCCCCGCGGACTCGAGATAGCCAGCTGGCATGGGCCCTGTAAAAACCACACGCAAAAGTAAGACGAGGCGCTTGGACTGGAGGCAGCTAGGCACAGAGTAATCTAAGAACTTTCGCAAGATAACTTGCTGGGGCACGCTGGCACGGGCCATCAGCACGAGAACAGCTCCGAAGAACATGAAGCAATCGGGGGCACCGCGACCTTTCCCTTATTGCCTGTCACTCGAGGAAGGTATTCTTGGTCCTGAGCACGATTCAAGGCGCAGAAGACGGGGTCGGCAACCTTGAGCGTGAACTGAGTCGTACTGAGCGGATACTTTGGGCATTGATGGCGCCTAGCAACAGGGCGAGGTCTGCCTTTTTTCCGTGGAGTCCGCGACGGCCGACTTATTGCGGGCCTGGACGCCAGGTACCTGCACTGCGGAACTGTAGGCATATCGTCGGCCTTGCCGACGAGGGCTGTCCCCCTCTGGGCTGCCGTCGACAGAACGCGTACTGAGGGAATGCAAAACTGGGGGAACAGCGACAGGTAGGGATAAGCACGAGCCAGGAACAGCGACGGCGGGACGACGAGACCGACCGTAACAACAGAACAAGCACTCGACGACAAAGGCATAGCCCCTAGAGCTCTAGCACTTGGTCGTCAAGGGGAAGATGTTGTCCCAGGTGCCATTGGGCTTCGGCATAGCTGTCGAACGAGATATCGCAGAGCTCGCAGGAGTAGGGGGGAGGGTGTTTATGCTCGAAGACCACCGCCGAACCTCAGGACCTGGGGCAAGAACGATTCACGAGGCTCCTGATCAGGTGCTCGCTAGCAATTCGCGTAGTAGAATGCATATTCCCACATAGCATGCACGAATTAGACACAGTAGCCACCCTGGCCAAAACTCGATAACCATGATTTGGAAGCTTCGAGTTAGACTGATGAAGGAGAAGCTGACGCCTGGAAGGGAACGCGACATCGCAGACACCTCTTTCCTCCCCCAGATGTATGCCACACTCGAACCCAGGGGGGGGAGGAGGCGGGGAAGGGGGAGGAGAGGGGGGAGAGAATCCCGGGGCGGCGGAAGGCGGCATCTGCTGACCTAGATACTCGGTAGCCAGGGCTCGAGGGTCGACATTGAGAAAAGCATGCCGAACCTCTTTTTCGCAGAGTAGCGACACTGGACGCTCCTGCGCACGCACAAACAACTCGTCATACTCGCCCACGCGAAAAAGCTCTCCCACATCCTCCATACATTGCTTCCACCACTCGTACCCAGGACCAATTCGAATTCCCTCTCTACCAACAAGCCTGACCTCCTGCTCCTCCCACGTACTTACTCCGAACATAGCGCCGACGAGCTGGAGGTTACGTAGCGGCCTTCTCGCGACGTCCTGCCACCGCTTGATTCTCTGCATTCTCAAATACATAGATACTGGCACCATCCTCAGAGTGCGCAGCACACTCAAATTCGTCATAGTATGAAGGGTGATGTATCCTGCCCCGTCCTTCTCCTTCCCACTTGCGGCACCTCGAAGAAGACGGCGAGCCATGCTCGCTTGCGCGCTGTCTAGCTTGTGCACACTGCTGCTGAGCAGCGCCATGGCCGTCAGCCCTGAAGAGAAAGCCCCTTCGACGACAGAGCGAACAAAAAAAACAATACCCTTCCACCTCCTGCTAGTACAATGTTGCCAGACTTGCTGCAAATCGAGATAGCTTAAACGAGCTTTCGTAACGCGCCGTGGAATCTCACTCGGAGAGCTGCCATCGGCTTGAAGAAAGGGGCTAGATACCTGCAGCGGTGCAATTCTTTGCCTGGCATAACCTCCCCACTCCTCAGCCCCCACCCCCCCTTCTCCGTGTATCTGCCTCCGAAAATCCCCCTCTCGGCGGCGGTAGCTCCACGGCCACAAAGGTGCACCAGGCCCTCTTGCTCGCTCGCATTCGCCTGGACGCACGCGATACTTAGTCTGTATTGCAGCAGGGCAGTGTTTTGTTGATTTAGCCTGATCAGACCATCAAGTGATCGCACAAGCTGCGTTCTCGCAAGATCGCCGGCGAAACTCGCAAGCGAGATGTCGATCGGCCTGTCCGACCAGGAACAGAGATGCAACCGATCGTGCACACCATCGGCCAGACAGTGTTTCAACCAGGGGAGCTTGACACTAAGCCCAGGACTATCAGTACAAATGACACCGTCGACAGACCAGTGATATGGGCCCAGGAACCATAAACGTGCGATCGTATCCCCAAGAAGAGTGCCCGACCCAATGCCCATGTCCAAGACCCCGTCGACACACTCGAAACGGACGTGGCCGCGCACCAATCTCTGAAAAAAAGCCGTGCAGAAACCGTATCAGAATGCAAACGTATGAACAGCACCAGCATATCGTGCGAACCACTATGAAGGGCATTGGTTGCATCGTAGAAGTTGGCGTAACAACTCTGCCCTGACGACCTAAGACGCCCCTGGCAAAGGCCTTGCACGAGGATCGCACATTCGCGACGACGATCCTTCAGGTAGCCGTAAGCATAATGCCGAGTAGCTTCGTAGGGCAGAACGGGATTGGTCTGCCACAGGTACGGGTAGACTATCTTCTCGAAAGGATCTAAACTATGAACCAGTCGAAGCCCAGCACAGTCTATCTTGCCGTTGCCCTTACTTAGAGTGAGCGCCTGACTACAGTGCCATATTCAGGGGGGCATCTACATGGAAGCGCACAGCTGCAAATATCATGAATGGACAGTGCCTAATCGATCCTAAATCCCAGCTCTCACTCGTCTGACCTAGACCAGCTTTAGCTTTAGATTTAAACTCTCGGGGCCAAAGCATCATTCTCCACGCGCCCGCAGGAAAGGCCCAAGACGGAGGCGCGCGGCGAAGTCCCACCAGCCCTTTGGGCGTGAGTGGTTTAGAAAGCCCGCTCTGTCCTCAACCCCCCTTCTTCCTTTTCGGGGAAGGGTTTACCCCTCCCCCTACCCCCTCCCCCTGGGCCTGGAGAGGGAGCCCCGAGCGGTCTCAAGGGGGTCAATTTCGACTCCTGGGAGGGCTAATAAACGACGACCCTCACGAGGATTCTGGCCCCGACGGGGGGGCAGAGTTTGGCCCCTCTGCTCGTCTTTGAAGCAGAAATCCTTGATGTTACTAAGGTTTTGGCCCCATTTTGGCCTTCTCAGGGGACCGCGCTCCTCTTCCTTCATAGCAAAAGCATTGATTTTACGAAGGTTTTGGGCTCATTTTGTCCTTCTCAGGGGGCAGCGTTCCTTTGCGCTTCTGAGGAGGTCGCAGGAGGCCCCAAGATGGCCCCAAGAGGCCCCCAGGAGGCTCCCAAGAGGCCTCCAAGGGGCCCCCAAGAGGCCCCCACGACGCCCCAAGAGGCCCCCAAGAGGCCCCCAAGAGGCCCCCAAGAAGCCCACGACGCCCCAAGAGGCCCCCAAGAGGCCCCCAAGAGGCCCCCAAGAGGCCCCACGAGGCTCCAAGAGGCCCCCAAGAGGCCCCACGAGGAGCCCGAACGACTCACATCAGGACGAGGGGCCCGAACGACTCACACCACGAAGAGCCCGAACGACTCACACCACAAGGAGGGGCCCGAACGACTCACACCAGGACGAGGCGCCCGAACGACTCACACCACGAGGAGCCCGAAGGACTCACACCACGACGCGGGCCCCGAACGACTCACACCACGAGGAGCCCGAACGAGTCACACCAGGAGGAGGGGCCCGAACGACTCACACCAGGATGAGGGGCCCGAACAACTCACACCACGAGAAGCCCGAACGACTCACACCAGGACGAAGAGCCCGAACGACTCACACCACGAAGAGCCCGAACGACTCACACCAGGAAGAAGGGCCCGAACGACTCAGACCACGACGAGAAACCCCAAACGACTCAAACCACGAGGAGCGCTTTCTCTCCCTCCTCCTTCGCCTCGTCCTTCTCCCGCCCCCCCACAAGGAGGATGTGCAAGGAGGCGGGAGGAGGGGGAACAGGGGAGATATGCGGGGCCCAGCGGACACACGCCTGAAAAACACAACTGCCGGCATGTTTCGCGAGAGTTGCTGCTGTGAGATGGGCTGGTGGGGATACGCGAAGCGTAAAGAATTTACCTTTCCTGAACAGCCCCGACACTTTGCCGTGCGCCTCTCTCGTCTCTTGCATAGCTTCTGACCAGTCGTCCTCGTTCGTGTCGCGGGACAGGCGGCGATCTAATTCTTCATCGCACTTGGGGGCGCACGCGGAAAACCCTCCTTCGCTGCCAGCCTGGCTTAAGTAGTTAGACCAGGTCTCGCAATCTAGATACACCCTAGGCAACGAAAAGAGGCGAAGCTTGGGGCCTAGGGCTTTACCATTCAACTTTCGAGCGAGCACCCAGGAGTCATAGAACATCCTCTGGCCCCGGGAGTCTTCAAGCTCAGACACCCGCAGCCCACGCGCACGGTGTCTGTCACGCCTCGTGAGCCTCCTGACATCTTTGTCAGCGCGCCTACACATTGTAATCTGCTTTAACAGCTTACTATGGTCCCAAACGACCTGTGAGAACGCAGAACAGACACTAATCAGCCTGCCACAGTCGACGAGCGGAAGCAGAGGCAACAGAGAAGAGGACGAAACCGAGGGCAGAGGCAGGGGAAGGGGCAAGGGGAGAGTAGACACTCGAAGCTCCCTCAACTGAGCGCGCAGCTCGATGCGCCGCGACAAGGCCGCCGATGTGTCGCTCGGGCGCGACGCTCTCTTGGGTTGGGCCTGAAAAGCTCGACTGCGACTGGCCTCGCAGCGTTGTGCACATGAAGATACATAACGTCACCACATTGTCGAGCATGTCGTTCCGCGTCGAGAGCCACTTGACCCAGCTCACGGTTCACTGCCTTGAGGAACCCAAGTCTTTTTTTCACCGAAGAGCACAGCACGATTTAGCCTGTCATGGCCCCACTTCGCTGCCGTCTCCTTCTCAGGGAAGAAGGGGCCAATGTCCAGCACCGCGACAACAGGATAATGGTCCCGCCTTGTGCGAGTATTGATCAGTTGCATCGCTTCACCAGTTTGTTCCCAAACTCTGCATTGCATCACACCCCCACGGACATCACTGGTCGAACAGATGTAGCCAACTCGAGCCGTCGATATTCCATCGCCGTGGTAGTACGTCGGGGAGCAATCAAAGAACGTATTGATCGCATCGAGATGGTGCTGTTCTAGCATTTCTCTGAACATGCGGCCGTTCGTGTTCCCGATGTCCGCGTTGCATAGCCCAATAGAACTGCTAATAACCGAACCAACTCTTGGACTCGCGTCTGACAACAAGATGGGCACCGTACGAGCGGGCAGCTCATTCAGCAATTCTCTCACCTGCTGCCAGAAACTTTCACATACCTTGCATGCAGCAGCTCGACCTCGGCCCCCCGGTGGCTCCACAGGGGCGTACCCGACAATCACAGTGACGTCGGACTTCTCCGTCTTGAAACGCACAGCACCGAAGCGACCTGCCATATCACCAGGAAAGCTCGATATACGTCGTACGTGCCGGGAGGAAGAGATCCTATCATACGCCAGTAGCGCGCATCCTGTCGGACGTCCTGCGATCCCCGCGCTGCGACCCCACTGGAAGCGTAAAAAACGTCCAAGGCAATCCTGTGCGCAGGGAACGTCAGTAGAAACTTGCGTGCCTGAGATACCGACAATCCCACAACTCCGAAACTGCTTCGATACATCCTGCCATCGCCCCGCCTGCCTCAAGGAGAGAGGGTTCCAAGAGCAGCAGCGGATCCTCATGGCCGCCCGAGTCTAACACCATGGGGGAGGCGGCATGGCAAGTCAGGGACGTGTCTGGGGGCGCACAGTGCCCCGCCAGAATCCTGCCTGGGCCGCGGGGGCTGAGGAGGAGGAGGAGGAGGAGGAGGAGGAGGAGGAGGGAGGAGGGAGGAGGGATTTTTATGGCCAGAGCTTCAGCCGCGAAGGTAACAGGCGCAGCGACGGCAGACGGCGGCGAATCCACTACCGACGAGGACCGTTACAGTGCACCACGACGAACGCGACGGGGCGAGGAAAAGCGGCCATGCAATCCTAATTATGTGCGCGGGGGGGCCTGCACCCACCCCACGGCCGTGTACCGCACCGAGAAGACCTCCAGGAACGAGAACACGAACGCGACGACGGTCACCCTGCGCCACAGATGATCGCCGCCGCCCGCGCGCGCAGCGCCCGCCGCCGCTCCTCATCATTCACGTCGTCCGCGAAACGGCCGTCGGGGAGGGCAGCGGCGGCAGCCCCAGCACCAGCAACTCCACCAGGAACCGCCGCGGCAGGGCGCACCGCCTCCACGGTGGGCGCCGCGCGGCGCACGGGGAGCAGGTTGGCCCAGCTGTCGTCCTCCAGGGGCGAAGTCGGGGCCACGACGCCCTCGACCTGCGAGCCCTCCAGGTCGCCGCCGTCCACAACCATGCTGCCGCCGCCGCCGCCGAGGACGGGAGCGGGGGCGAGCGCCAGCGCACCTGCGCCGCGGCGCCTGCGAGCCCGCCGCCGCCGCCGCCGCCGAGGCTCCTGGCCTTCAGGCGGCGCGTCGCCTGCGGGGGCTGCAGGCGGCCCCTTCGCACCTCCACCATCAGCTCCACCATCGGCCGCAGGGCGGGCTGCCCGAAACTCCGCCTCGAGCATCGCCGCTGCAGCCCGAACTGGGCCCTCGGCCGAGCGCGGCAGCCTGGCGGCCGCCGCACCCCGCGCCAGACCAGCAGCGCCATGCACCGCCAGCGCGGCCCCACGGGCCGCAGCCAGCGCCACGCGGCGATCCGTCGCCGCCGCCATCGGAGGCCCGCGGCGGGCGCGGCGGCCCAGCGGTGGCGAGCTCGACGCGACACGGCTGAGGAGGAGGAGGAGGAGGAGGAGGAGGGAGGAGGAGGAGGAAGGAGGAGGGAGGAGGGAGGAGGGAGGAGGGAGGAGGGAGGGGGGAGGAGTAGTAGTAGTAGTAGGAGGAGGAGGAGAAGGAGGAGGAGGAGGGGAGGAGGAGGAGGAGGAGGAGGAGGAGGAGACGGGCCGTCTGAGCCCTTCGGAGAAACCCTCCAGGGTGGGGTCGGGAGCTCTGGGGCCGCCAGCAGAGAGAGAGAGAGAGAGAAAACAAAACAAAAAAAAAAAATCGGAGGATGTTTGGGCTCGGGCGTTTTGCCAGAGGTGCCTCTAGCCGGCCGGCATGCCCTCGGGATTTCTGGGGAGGCCCCCCCACGGCCTCTCACCGAGGACCATCCTTCCCAGACCCCCGCGGTAATGAAAACATATCCCAGTGCGACCCTACCTAGGAGTTGGAACCCCTAGGAAAGCAGCATTAGTAGTAACAGTAACGCTAAGCTAAAGCTAAGCTAAAGCTAAGCTAAAGCTAAGCCACAGCTAAGCTAAAGCTAAGCTAAATCTAAAGCTAAGCTAAGTCTAAGCTAAAGCTAAGCTAAATCTAAGCTAACGCTGAGCAACAGCTAAGCTAAAGCTAAGCTACAGCTAAGCTAAAGCTAAGCTAAAGCTAAACTAGCTATAAGCTAACGCTAAGCTAACGCTAAGCTAAACGCTAAGCGAAAAGCTAAGCGAAACGCTAAGCTAAAGCTTAGCTACAGCTAAGCTAAAGCTAAGCTAAAGCTAAACTAACGCTAAGCTAAAGCTAAGCTAAAGCTAAAGCTAAAGCTAAAGCTCCCAGGGGACTGGGGGGAACCGCTCCCAGGGGACTGGGGGAACCGCCCGGGGCGCTTTCCATTGCCCGGCCCCTTTAAGCTAGAGAGTAAGAACCCTTCTAGGCAGAGCCCAGGTAATTAGGGAATCATGACGGGAGGTGTTTTCCATATTTTCGGTCTACGGAGGCCCTTGCCGGGACTCGGGACCATCCAAAAACGACTCAGGATGAAAAGCCGGTCCATGGGAATGGGTCGAGACCTCCTGGGAGCCGACGCGATGCAACAAGTCATGACGTCGGGGGTCTGGGCTTGGAGCCACCATGACCCCCCCCAACCTGTAAGTTCGTTGGGAATATGGTTTTTTGGCGCGCGCGCGCGCCCCTGTTCGTCTCCGAAGGAAGAGCCACTACGAGGCATCCTGCACCTCCCCTGGCGAGGAGGAGGAGGGGACGGAGGCGGAGGAGGAGGACGGGAGGAGGGAGGAGGAGGAGGAAGGAGGAGGAGGAGGAGGAGGAGAGAGGGAGGAGGAGGAGAGGAGTAAGAGGAGGAGCGAGGAGGAGGAGAGGAGGAGGACAAGGAGGAGGGAGGGGATAGGAGAAAGGGGAGAAAGAGGAGGAGGAGGAGGAGGAGGAGGAAGAGGAGGAGGAGGAGGAGGAGGAGAGGCAGGCGTCCCCGACGGCGCAAAGGTTTATCTTATGCCGTTCTTCGCTCGCTGCCTCGAGGTCTCCCGGCCGCCCGCCCACGTCTCTGAGGCGAGGGGGCGGTGTCACGGGAGTGGTCGGCTCGCCGGGGATCGGCGTGCCCGCCCCTTTGGGGGCCCCGAATTATCCGGGGTGCCTCGGGTCCTGGGTAACTCGGGTTCGGATTCCCGAACAAGGAACCCGAGTTAGCCCTGACCCGAGTTGCCCCTGATGATGTGGGGCTCTGGACGCCCGAGTGATCCGGGGTAGCTCGGGTCTGGGGTAACTCGGGTTCGGATTCCCCAAAAACGAACCCGAGTGAACCCTGACCCGAGTTACCCCTGATGATTCGGGGCTCTGACCCCTGGTCCTTCGTCTCGGCCGAGGAGAAGCCCTGCTTCTTGGAGTACACCGTGAGGAAGCGGGTGAGCTCCTCGAAGCTGAGCTGCGCGTTCCCGTCGTCGACCTCCATCAGCGCCTCGCGTATGGTGGCCGTAAACGGCACCAGGCCCAGGCTGGCCATCAGGGGTCGCAGCTCAGTGATCGAGATCTCGCCGCTGCCGTCGGTGTCGTACTCCCTAAAGATCTCCCGCATCTTGTGGCGCTCCCACTTTTGGTAGGTCATCATGAAAGTACAGAACTCGTGAAAGTCGAAGTAGTGATACTGCGTGACCTCGCTCAGCAGCGGCCCGTAGTGCTCCAGCATCGTAAGCCCGTGCCCCAGGAAGCCGAGCAGCTCGCCGACATGGTCCACGTGTACCTCGCAATCGCCGGGAGCCTTGAAGCGGTTGAAGGCAGTCCTCCACCTGGGGGAACAACACGCATATATATACACATGTATATATATACATATATATACAGATAGGTATATCTGCATAGCTATATCTATATACACATATATATATATATATATAGATCTAGCCGCCACTCCACGGACCTCTCCCCAAGCGCGTTCTGACCAAGATATCCAAGAGAATCCGGCCGTGCCGACCCATGGCTCTACAGGACGAGCAACGGCTTCGGTACCTCCCCACACCCCCGACGTCATGATTGTGGCCACAATGTCGACAAACAGAAACCTCGAACCATTCTCTTGGCCCGGCTTTTTCATCCTGACTCGTTGTTTGATGTTCCCGGGCCCCAGAGGCAGAACATCACCGCAAGCCTCCTGTCGTGATTTGATCGCAGCGCGAAGATGTCAAGGTTTCTATATTTTCCTCCTCTGGGCACCTCTCCTCGTGATCGTCCAGGTCTGTCTCCGACAGCTCGTCGTTGCCAGCAGACCCGACAGACAGGTCGGCTGACTCGACGGAACCAATGAGGGACTGCGAAGCGGCGTCTGGAAAGGAGGCGCCGTTCTCCTGGCCGCCGTCCTTGGCAAGCATGGAAGAGGAGGGGCCCTGAGGTAGAACGGGTCACCTGATATCCTGGCGCTACATGTTGTTCACACCAAGCGATGTTGCGCTGTTCAGGGCCCAATGCCATCACAAATCGATCCAGCTCGAAGAACGCAACATACAAGTTAACTCTGTATGGTTCTGGTCCAGATGTTTCACGATGTTGCACGTTTTAGCAACGTCGGATCTCAGGGCCTTCGGCACAGGGAATTCCCCCCTGGGCCATTGTCTTCATCCTGAGTTGCAACCCGCCGATAGGAAGAGGTAGGTGAAAGCATGACGTAGGAAGGGGGATAAAGTGGATTGGGTTCGGGTCGCCCAAAAAATAACAAAGACAACAACGACATATAGATCCGTGAAGTAGGAATGCGCTTGAAGCAGAGTGGGATCTGGGAATCCAGTACATGCCTTCTTTCAGCGACCGTCGTGTACCCTGGCAAAGGCCCTTGGAGAAGGAGCGCGGCGAAGCCGCTCGGGGCCCTGGATCCATGCGGGGTCCCCGGAGCTGTGGCCCGCGTTTCTGGGCTCGGTTTTTTCGGGGGCGGCAAAGAGGGGGGTGTCCAAGAGGGGGGGTGCAAATCATGACCGGCGGCATGTGCGCGGCCCAGCGGGGGGGCCAGGAGTCGTAATGAAATGAAGAAGAGGCGCCACGAAATCTGGGGAAATGTCATGACCCCCGCCACTATATCCCCCCCCCCCCCAGTCATCACCCCCCTCTTTGCCGTCCCTGATTTCTCGTCGCGCACCGTTTTCTGGACGCTCCCGGGGACGGGCGAGGGCCCCCAAACATCGAAGACTCTACAACCCCAAAACCTCCGCCTCGACTTTTCCATGGCGCTGGAAGCCTGGGTCTGCCTCGCAGCGGCCTTCGCTGGCGGCTGCTGCGCCTCGCCTAAGCCCCTGGCGGATGTGCGGCTCCTGTAGGGTTCGGTTGCTCACAGCGTACTGGAGGACCACATCCCGGAAATGATTTCGAGCCCCCAGTAAAGCATCGAGACAGTGTCGAACGAGTATCGCCTCCCAGGGCCCGACACGTGAACATCCCCCCGTTCCGATAACTTCCTGGTGCTCGACATCCTTTTCAGGCGGTCAAGACGGAAGTAGGTTGGAGCATTATCACTGTAGGGGAACAGGAAGCGCAGAATCCCTCGGAGATCCGCGCGGGCTTCTTGGATCGGATCGGTGCTGGGCCCTCCTCTTGAGATCCTGGCGATCCAATTGAGTTTCGAGCCAGGCGTTTTTGAAGGGGCCCTGGGACACACACACACACACACAAACACACACACCACACACACCACACACACATAGATAGACACAAATAGCAGGATCCTCCGGACCTTTCCATATTTTCTGGGCTTTTGTCTTCCCCCCTCCACTTCCCATGTATTCGATATTTTCAGGGGGATCGACGATTCATTGTGTCTGTGCTCTCTAGTCCCTTCTGAACTTTCACCTTTGCCGGGCCCCGGGACCCTCACATATCGATCCGGCTCGAAGAATGACGCCACAAGATGGGGTCTATAGGGCTCCGGGCGTGAGGTTTTTTTCGATGCCGCGTGTTTGTTCGCTACGTCGGATCTCGGGGCCCTCCCCGGCGCGCGGAGCATGCCATGGGGCGGCGCGGGATGCGCAGGCAGGGGAGCCCCACGCCGACCGAAGGAGTCTGCGCGGAGTCGGAGCAATTTTACCAAACAGTGTTTACCCGTACACCCTGCGAGATGCTTTAGAAATCATGGGTTAAGAAATTCATAGTCTCGGAACTTGAGTAAAAACCCAGAATGTCGATTCAAATCTTAGGATTTACATTGAAACCTTAAGAATAATAGAGACTCTGGCCGAAAACTCAAGTTTTCTTCAGCATCGCCTGGAGTGTAGGGGTTCTTGCTCTTCTCCTGCGGAGCTGGGCTGGTGCGGCGGTCTGGCGGCTACGTTGCCGCCGTCGCCGCCCCGTCGACGCCTCGTCGCCGCCTCGTCGCCGCCCGTCGTCTGGACCTGCGTGGCGGTCTGGCGGCGATGCTGCCGCCTCGTCGCCGCCCCGTCGCCGCCTCGTCGTCGTCCGGCGTCTGGGCCTGTCTGTCGGTCGCCGCGCTCGTTGCCGTCTGCGCCGCCCCGCCGCCGCCACGCGCAGATTGAACGAGATATACACCCTGCGAAATGCTTAAGAAATCATGGGTTAAGAAACTCAGAGTCTGAGAATTTGAATACAAACCCAGAACGTCGATCAAAATCTTAGGATTTACATTGAAACATTAAGAATAATCGAGCCTCTCGCCGAAAACTTAAGTTTTCTTAAGCATCGCCTAGGGTGTACTGCACAACATCGGCTGCACAACTTACATGTCACCACACGGGAATGCACAACGCTGAATTGCACATGATCGCACAACACAGATTGTGCCACACTCACCGCACAACCACTGATTGCACCAGGGGGACTGCACAACATGGGCCGCACCACATAGACTGCACATCAGACATTGCACAACTCAGTTTTGTTTCTGTCGTCGGGGGCGGGAGGTGGGAGCGGACACCGATCCGTCCGCTGCCGCTCCGAGGGGGCCAGCATCGCAGAGGAAGCGCTCTTGAGCGTCGGCCGGAGGAGCGGGGCAGGAGGAGGAGACGTGGGGGGAGGGGGGGGGGAGACCGGCAGAGCAGTCCAGGACACCCGGGGCAGCGCAGGCCGACCTGCCGTAGGCGAGCCGTTGCGAGGCTCTGGGAGTGGGAGGCGCTGGCAAAACTGCACGATTAGACAACGATCTGGGCCCAAGTTCCGCGACTTGACCACGCACACTGAAGATCCAGACGAGGACTAGAGAAGCAGAGGGGAGGAGGAAGAGAAGGAGGAGGGAAAAGAGAGAGGCTGGGACTGCGAGGTGGCAACCTAAACGGTCGCATACTGCACAACATAGGTTACACTACATAGAGTTCACAACATACATTGTGCCACAAATAATACAGACCGTAGACTGCACAACCTACATTGCACCGCAGCTATTGTTCCACATATATTGCATAACCTAGATTGCACCCCACAGCTTGCTCCACATAGATCGCATCATATGTTTTGCAATTGAACCACACAGCATAGATTGCATTACCTACATTGCACAACATGGATGGCACCACACTGATCTATTCACATGGGTTGCACCACGTCGATCGCACCTGATAAAATGCACAGCAAATACTGCACACGATGCATTGTACAGCATATATTGTACCACATCTATTCCACCACATAAATTGCTCCACCTAGGTTGCATAACATATATTGCACAACGTAGATCGCAGCACCCTCACTGCACAACATAGGTTGCACAACATAGGTTGCACAACATCGATTGCACCACATAGATTGCACCACATATACGGCTCCACATACATAGTACAACCTATATGGTTAGAAACACACTGCTTGGGATCCACGCTGGCTAGCATGTGTTTATGCGTGATTTCGCTCGCCCGCCCTTACATGCAAATAAAACCCACCTCGACCTCGCTTCCAAGCAAAACCAAGCCATACCACTGCAACTCTTGTCAAGGCACGCGCCGCTCATGTGACCATTACCGGCCATCGCACGGGTAGCCTCGCACTGTTTGGCTCCCGCTCTGGCAGAGGCGGGGCGTAAAGCGCAGCAAGCTGTTGCTCGCCTCTACCAGGGGAACGAACAAGCTGCATAAACTTACCTTTAAGTCGGGCCTGTCCTCCTACAGGGGGATCTCGGACGAAAAAACATAACCCCAACATACCCCAAATCGTCAAAACACACTATAAACATCACCCCCAGACTATTTGTTGATTATTGTAATATACCTCCTGTAGAGGGGCATGCCCGCCATAACCCTAACTCCTCAGATCCGCACGCATGTCTTGGATCGGCGCAGGGCCCCCCACTCTCTGGTGCGCGGAGCGCACCATCTTGTGACGCCTGAGGCGCAGCCAGGGGGCTCCAGGCGCCGACACCAGGAGACCCGCGCGGACCGTCGACAGCGCCTCTGCATGCAGCTCGGCTGGGGGATCGACTACGGAATTGAGTTACCCCAATACTGATTTTCACGCCGGTTCTTCCGCAAACCTGCGTCAATCATGCGTAGACCCGCGGAAGTTCTACGATAATTGCCCGTGGATGCGGCAAGAGAAATCGATTCTGGGGCACACCAACTCTGTGGTCGATCTCCTACTCGAAGTTCTCGCTTCTTCTCGGAGGAGGGCAACGTGAGACAACGGCCGTGAGACACCGGTGGCCAAATCGGCTCAAATCGGTCCCCGGACCCCTCCCGGGGTCCAAATGCACCGATTCTTCACGCTGCGTCCAGCCGTGGCGACGAGGAGGCCCTTCGGAGGCGAAAAAGGCAAAAACATTCACCCTTGTCTCACCCTGCTCTCCTCTGATCTTCGACCTGGGTCCTGGACGCCTTGCGGGGCTCCTCGGGCGGCCCCCCGCCGGCGTCGGGGCCGGCCGCGGCGGCGCCCTGCGGGCGGGGAGGCGGCACGGCGGCCTGGATCCGGACCTTCTTCGTGGGCGCCTGCCGCTCCACGGCGGCGGCGGCCACCTCGAGGGCCGGAGCCGCAGCCTCGCCGCGAGCAGGGCGAGGTCCAGAGACACGGCGGCAGGAGGAGGAGGAGGAGGAGGAGGAGGAGGAGGAGGAGAAGGAGGAGGAGGAGGAGGAGGAGGAGGAGGAGGAGGGGACCCCCCCCCCCCCCTCGTCGTCGCTGACACCGAGCCGGCGTGGCCTCGGCTCGGCTCGCGCCACCCAGGTGGGATCACGTGGTGGATCACAGGAGCCCCCTCTTAGGATGTGGGGGAAGTCCTGTAGGATTCCTGCGAGCAGGGAACTTGGAGGGCGGGTTGATTGCAACATCGTTGATGCGTCATGCGTCTTGTGTTTACACTGGTCCTCCTCCTCCTCCTCCTCCTCCTCCTCCTCCTCCTCCTCCTCCCTCCTCCCTCCCTCCCTCCCTCCCTCCCTCCCTCCCTCCCTCCTCCTCCTCCTCCTCCTCCTCCTCCTCCTCCCTCCCTCCCTCCCTCCCTCCCTCCCTCCCTCCCTCCTCCTCCGTGCCTGCTCCCTCTGGTCTCGCAGGGCGGGAATCCCCCCCCTGGGAGGGTGGGCCGGCGGGGCGCACGGCCGAGAGTCTGTGGCCCAGTGGGGGCGGGGATCGGTTTAAAGGTCGGGCGTGTCCCCCTACAGGAGGAACATCCGAGAATGGTCCCAGAATAGCCTGGAGGTGACTTTTTCCTTCTGTGTGGACTGTTCTCGGACATGTTTATAGGGGAATGTTTGATCTGTCGTCCAAGATCCGCCTGTAGGGGGACATGCCCGACCTCAGGATAGGTGAGACGACACAGACTGCCGGGGTCGGAGCGCACATTCTTTCCGAGCTGCGTCGCGCCATGGCGACGAAGGACCCCCCCCGAAGGCCAATGCCGGAGATCCCACGTTGCGAAGCAATTGCAAGATCCCGAGCATCACAAGCAGGGGGCCTGGAGCCTCAGACGGCCTCCTCCAACGGCATTTCTGGAGCCAGATCGATCTGTGAGGGTCTCAGGGCCCGAAACAAGGCGAAACCGCTCAGCCTGAACATTCCGAGACGCCAGGATCTCGAGGGCCGATGGCCAACCGTCGCTGTCCCATCTCGCCCTCCTCTGGCCTCCCTCGGTGCGGCCGCGTCGGGGCTCAGCACGCTCACCTAGAAGAACGAGCATCTGCACAAGCATGATTTCTCGGAGGTCCGCGCGAAGCTCTTGCACCGGCGCTGGACCCTCCTGTCTGGGGCGCGGAGCGCGCCCAGGGCGGCGCCAGAGGGGCCGCCGCGGGGGCCCCGGCACCGATCCAGGAAATCCGCGCGGAGCTCAGAGAAAATAGCCGAAGGAACTCATTACCCATCTCTCCTCCTCCTCCTCCTCCTCCTCCTCCCTCCTCCCTCCTCCCTCCTCCTCCTCCTCCTCCTCCTCCTCCTCCTCCTCCTCCTCCTCTCCTCCTCCTTCCTCCTCCTCCTGCCCTCCTCCCTCCTCCCTCCTCCTCCTCCTCCCCCTCCTCCTCCCTCCTCCCTCCTCCCTCCCATTCCCTCCTGCCCTCCTCCCTCCTCCTCCTCCCTCATCCTCCTCCTCCTCCTCCTCCTCCCCTCCTCCTCCTCCTCCTCCTCCTCCTCCTCCTCCTCCTCCTCCCCCCCGCATCCGTAGCACCAAAAGCAAACGGCACGCGTGCCATGGCTCATGCACATGAAAAAGGAGGGAGGAGGCGAAGGGGGCGCGCTGGCTGGTGGACGGGGCAGCGGAGGGGCGCTCGGGGTGGGGGGGCGGTGCCGCGCCGGAAAAAAAAGGGGGTCGGGGCGGAGGGGGCGCGCTGGCTGACGGGCGGGGTGACGCAGAGGGGCGCTCGGGATGGGTGGGCGGTGCCGTGCCGAAATACAAAGGTCGGGGCGGAAGGGGCGCGCTGGCTGGCGGGCGGGGTGACGCGGAGGGCCGCGCTGGATGTGGATGGGGGCGTCGGCGCCGTGCCGAAATAAACGGGCCGGGGCGGAGGGGGCGGCGCCGCGCCGAAACAAACAGGTCGGGGCGGAGGGTCGCTCTGGCTGGCGGGTACGGGGATGCGGAGGGGGCGCGCGGGATGGGAGGGGGGGCGTTGTCGTGCTGCAATAAAGGGGTCGGGGCGGAGGGGGCGCGCTGGCTGGCGCGTGGGGTGGCGCAGAGTGGGCGCTCGGGATGGGTGGGGCGGCTCAGTGCCGAAATAGAGAGGTCGGGGCGCAGGGGGCGCACTGGCTGGCGAGTGGGGGGGCGCAGAAAGGTGCGCGCGGGATAAGGGGGATAGTGCAGTGCCGTACATTTTTATATAAAAAAAGTCGTGCGGAGGTGGCGGCGCCGTGCCGACATAGAGGGGGTCGCGGCGGAGGGGGCGCGCTGACTGGCGGGCGGGGGGGCGCGGAGGGGGCACGCGCGATGGGAGCGGGGCGGCTCCGTGCCGAAATAAAGGAGTCGGGGCGGAAGGGGCGCGCTGGCTGGCGGGTGCGGATGTGGCGCTCAGGATGGGTGCCGTGCCGAAATGAAAAAAATCTGGGCGGAGGGGGTGCGCTGGCTGGCAGTCGGGAAGGGTGCAGACGGGGCGCCCGTGGCGGAGGGGGCGCTCTGGCTGGCGGGCGGGGTGGCGCGGAGGAGGCGCGCGGGATGGAGGTGGGGGTGGCTGCGCCGTGCCGAAATTGAAGGGTCGGGGCGGAGGGGGCGCGGCTGGCAGGCGGGAGGATGGTGGTCTGGGTGATTTGGGGGGGGGGGGGGGGGCGTGCCGAAAAAAAATCTGGGCGGAGGCGGCGCGCCGGCTGGTGAGCGGGGGGGATGCGGAGGGGGCGCGTGGGATGGGGGGGCTCCGTGCCGAAATAAAAGGGTCGGGGCGGAGGGGGCGCGCTGGCTGGTGGGTGGGGGAATGGAATGGGGAAGATGGGGGCGCGCTGGGGGCGCGCTGGCTGGTGGAATGTGTGGGTGATGGAGGGTGAGCCGTGCCGAAATAAAGTGGTCGGAGCTCTAGACACCCTGTGCAAGAGAATAACACATCAATTACGGAGGGGGGAATTCGCCGAGCGACAGCGTCTGCATCCGGAGTAACCAAATGATTCCTGGGAAGACGGCAACGAGTTCTCAGGAATCCTCAAGAATATTTACAAATCCTTCAAGGGTCCTGAAGATTTCTTCAATAATCTTTCAGGAGTCCGCAGAAATCCATAGGAATAATTCAGGAATCATTTTGGAATCCTCAGAATCCCAAGGAATCCTTCAGGGATCCTTCAGAATCCTTCAGGAATTTTGAAAATGAATCCGCAGGACTCCTCACACATCCTCCAGGACTCGACGGAAAACCTGCAGGAGGCCCTTAGGAGTCCTTCGAAAATCCTAGCAAGAAACACGAGGAATCCTTTAGAATATGCCGGAACCTGGAGGAATCCGCAAGAAGCCCGACAGAACTCTCAAGAATCCCCCGATGAGGGTCCTGGGGGCAGACAATCACTTCCAGGGGCGAAGGGCGATATACTTTCACTGGACAGGGAGGGTCGACAATCGCTTCCAGCGGTTGTGTGTATGTGCCGACGTTCGTTCCTCGATCACCATCCAATCGACGTCGAGCCCTTCCTCAGGCGCCGCGTTCGCGGCGGCCTCGGGCGCCTCCGGCGCCTCCGAGCCGAACAAGGACTGCAACACCGGGCCCGCGAGCGCGACCTGCGCCGCCTCACCCGCAGACCTCCGACGTCTCGGCTCCCTAAACAGCTTGCCTGCAAGGCCTCTGCAGTTTAGATCCTGGAGACCAATAATTAGGTGGAGTGCCCTGTCCTGAAGCGGTCCAAGGAAGCCTCCCGTATCCTCCCGTGGCCGTCCCTATCCCGTCCCTATCCTTATCCCTCTGCCTCTACCCCTTATCCGTATCCATGTTGTGCGTAGATACCACAATCCTCATCCCCATCCCGATCCCTCTCTCTATATCGCTGCATCCCCAATCAGCCCTAACCAGACCCCTATCCCGCTTCCCCCTTCGTGGCCCGCCATCGGAACTGTGGAAAGCTGTCTAGGGCTCTCTGCCGCAAAGGTGCCACTTTTCCAACGCGGGGCCCGGGAGCTCTGGACCACCTCCGAGGGATCGCTTTTCACCCCCGGCTCTTTTCTTCACGGCCCCCAGGCCCGACAAGGGCCCCCAGGTTCAGGAAACGGCGAACATAGATGTCTTGAATTCTTTGAATACGTTGGAGGTCTGCGCCTGTGGAAACCACAAGGCTCGACTGCACGCAAGAGTGACCCTAGGCCCTAGGCAAGAGTGACCTTTGTGACTATCGTTGAACCGATCCCCATCCCCAGCGGCGTGGCCTGGGCCCCACTGGCCGATTTACCCCCCTAGATGGGGATATAGGCCGTATATTTCGGGTTTCGAGGGGTGTATCCGCAACTGGGGTGGGGAATTTGGCGGGGGTCTCGAACGGGATGGGGATGGGGATGGGGATCGGTTAAACGATACCGACTTTGGTACGCGGCTTTTGGGGGGGGCGCAAGGGGGCCAAACTCAAGCGCGCAGGCCGCTGCCATCGCATCGCCATCGGACATCGGGCAGCCCCGACAGGCCCAACAAAAAAGGTCACTCCGGCGAAAGGTGACCCCTACTTTCAGGTCGAACAGATGGAGATACAGCTGCTCCCCAGACCTGGCCCTGGGTGCGTTCTGACGGGGATCTGGAGGCAAATCCAGCCGTGGCGACGAGGGCCTCCGAGGAGGCCCACAAGGGCGAAGACGGCAAGGGCAGCAGAACCTCAAAAAGCTCGGGGGCGTCCAAGAGGGGGGGCGCAAATCATGGCCGGCGGCATGTGCGTGGCCCGGGGGGGGGGGGGGGCGGGCACGTGATGAAATAAGAAGAGGCGCCATGAAATCGGAGGAGATATCGTGGCCTCCGCCATGAGATTCCCCCCCCTATATGAAGGGGGGGGGGGAATAAATACAAACAAATAAATACACACAAATAAAAGGATTCCCGATATTTTCCCATATTTTCTCTGTTTTCGTCTTCCCCCCCACTGCCCATATTTTTCAATATTTCTTTGGGAATCGACGATTAATTGTGTCTGTGTGTTTTTTCCCCTCCTAACTATAGTCATCACCCCATTCTCGTGCCGCCCCCGAAAAAAAAGCGGCGCAGGCGTGATTTTCTGTGAGGTCCGCGCGGATTTTTCTTGGGCGGGCACTTGGCCTCCCTCCCTGGCGCGCTCCGCGCGCCAGGGCCGGAGCCGCCGCCAGGAGGGGAGGAGGAGGGGGCGGAGGAAGAGGAGGAGGAGGAGGAGGAGGAGGAGGAGGAGGAGGAGGAGGAGGAGGAGGAGGAGGAGGGGAAGGGAGAGGAGGAGGAGGAGGAGGAGGAGGAGGAGGAGAGAGGGAGGAGGAGGAGGAGGAGGAGGAGGAGGAGGAGGAGGAGGAGGAGGAGGAGGAGGAGGGAGGAGGAGGAGGAGGAGGAGGAGGAGGAGGAGGAGGAGGAGGAGGAGGAGGAGGAGGAGGGGGAGGGAGAGGAGGAGGAGGAGGAGGAGGAGGAGGAGGAGGAGGAGGAGGAGAAGAGGGAGGAGGAGGAGGAGGAGGAGGAGGAGGAGGAGGAGGAGGAGGAGAAGGAGGAGGAGGAGGAGGAGGAGGCATTTCGTTCGTGCAGGCACCCGGCTGGGACCCAGCATTAGGTCGGGCATGTCTCCCTGCAGGAGGATGTTGGACGACAAATGAAAAAAACAAGCAAAACATGTCCCCAGATAGCCAGAACTAAGACAAGAATCGTCCCCAGACTACTCTTTGGCTATTTTTGAATATCCCCCTTGTAGAGGGACATGCCCGACCTAAACCTCGCACTGGCACCGATCCAAGAAATCCGCGCGGACCGCGGAGAAATGACGCTAATGACGGACGCCCTCTGCTCCTAGAAGAATCTCGCCGCCACGGTCTTCATCTGTTCCATCTGCATCAGAGGCCGGCCACGGAATCGAGCTACCCCGGCACAGTTGACTCGCTCGTCGAGTCTGCCAGGGAAGAACGCACTTCTCGCAGATCTACAGGCACTCGACATCATGTTCGTAGCTTGGACAACAAAATCAAGCAGCCGACTTCGTCGATCTCCTCTTCGACCGACGCGCCCGAGGCCCAGGCCTCGCCCTCGGCGCGGGCGCCGCCGTGCGCGGCGCCCCAGGGCGAGCCCTGCGCGGCCGCGGGCCGCGAGCCCCTGAGGCTGGCGAGCTGCTGCGAGGCGCTGGGGGACGCGGGCCCGCCCTGGCGCATGGTGGCGGACCTCTTGGCGGTGCGCCGCCTGGCGCTCGCGTACATGTCCTGCCGGCGGCAGCCAACCCGTACATCGATGACGAGCACCTTTCCGAGGCTGCGCTTGCAACCTTCCCCGTCGGCCCCGTCCTCGGCGGCTTTCGCTGGCCGCACCCCGCTCGCAAATTGTCGGCTTGGCCTGCCATGGTCCTCGCATCCTTCCAAGGACGCGCGATAAGGTTGCACGGGCCTTGGTTGGCCACGTCGGCAAAGTTTGCGAGCGGGGTGCGGCCAGCGAAAGCGGCCAAGGATGGGCCGAAGGGGGAGGATGCAAGGGTAACCTTGGAAAGGTGCCCATCCTTGATGTGCGGGCTGGCTGTACACGCAAGAGTGACCCTGGGCAAGAGCGTAGTGCTGGATCGGTCATGTCCCCCTACAGGCAGATCTTGGACGACGAATTAAACAGACTCAAAACATCAGAAATGCCCCATGAATTTTCAAAGCATCGTCCCCAGAGTCTGTGTTCACTATTTTTGAGCATCCTTCCTGTAGAGGGACGCGCCCGACGACAGCGCAGCGCGCGGCTCAAAGGGGGCGCGCGGTGGCCACATCCAGGCGCGCAGGGCCGCAGCTGCCGGCCCCCCTCTCTGCCGGGCGTTGGCAGAACTGGGCTTCGCGGAACCTGGTGTAGCGATTAAAACGAGGCAACGATCGGGACAAAATCGGATCGGGATAACTCGAAATCTCTGAGAATCGGCGGGTTTGGAGGATGTATGCGCCGCGGCCGCTCCAGAGCGTTCCGGAACGCTCTGAGAGCGCTCCGGAACGCTCTGGAGCGATTTATCCCGATCCTAGCCCTGTTTTAGCGATGTGTACCCGGGGGCGCCCCCCCGCCCCGTTCCGCGAACCGGAACAGCCGTCACCGGAAAAACACCAGTGACGGCAAACCTGGTTTGGTGAATCTGGCCAGTTGAAGGACCCCAGGGCCCTGCCACTAGTCGGGTCCCCTTACCCGGGGTCCTGGCTACACCCGACTCTGGCGGAGGGCCACTCTTACACGTGGCCGGTCCTCGAAGGCCGAAGAAGAACACGCAGCACGATCAGGCACTTTCGGAGCTCCGCGCGGAGCTCCTGGCTCGGCGCTGGATCCCCCTGGCGGCGCTTCGGGCGCCGCCCCTGGCGCGCGGAGCGCGCGCCAGGGAGGGGGTCCAGGGCCGATCCAGAAGCTCCGCGCGGAGCTCCGAAAGCTTATGCTCGTGCCGCGCTTGGCGTCTTCGAGAAGGACAGCGGCGGCTGCGCGCCGCCGCCGAGTGCAGGGAGCTCCGGCCCGGGCGACGCGGGCCTCCCGGGCGCCCGCACGTTGGCGCCGCCGCGGGAGCTGGGCCGCCAGGAGAGCAGCGGGGCGCTGAGGCTGGGGCTCAGGGCGCAGCCGTGGCTGAAGGTGGCGACCGCGCCTGAGCATCGCTGGATCGTTGGACCGATCCCTATTTCCACCGGCGTGGCCTTAGGCTTGTTCGCCCTTCTTTGTGTCTAGAAGGGGTGGCCTCCCGAACAGCACAGCCTCTGACTGCGGGTAGCCCTGTCGCCCATCCCCCCGCCGTGAGCAACCTCACCGGCGAAACTGCTCGGCTGTAGTCTGAAGCCCCGGCCAGATTGCACCAGTGAAATCTCGGGTGGGATGTCTGCCTGTTCCTTCGGGTTTCGCGGGGCCTATTTCCACAGGGTGAGCTGGTGGGGCTGAGGTACCATAAGCCAGCGGGGATGGGAATAGGTTGGACGATGCTGAACGCCTACGCCCACGCCGCGTCGGCGCCCCAAACCTGGTGGAGCAAGACGAGATACAACATAATTACCGCCACTCCCCTCGATACCTCTCCCGGGGCTGCGCACCGGCCAGTCTCTCGGGGCGAGCCCACTCGCAGCTGCGGGGGCTCCCCGGGTGGGCGCCCAAAAATCCCCAAAGAAGGATGGGAGGGCAGCGGCATCGGTACCCAGACATGCGACGTCCTGATGTTTTTCCTTGCTAGGGGAACAAAAAATGATTTAAACATAAAACCTCGGAGGTCCGCGCGAATTTCTCGGATCGGCGCTGGGGCCCCCTGGCGGCGCCTCTAGCGCCGATCCGAGAAATCCGCGCGGACCTCCGAGCTGTCATATTTGTGTCAGTTTTTGTTCCCCTCCTTGCGCGGTCCCCAAGAGTCCCGACCCTTTCCCCGGGGCCGGTGTTTCACCGCGGGTCGCTTTTGGCGGTATCTCACTCCGCCCGTCGTGGTGTTCTGTCACGGCGCGAGCATGCCCGGGCACGCATTCCTCAGCCTGGGACCTCCCGCGTCGGCGTCGGGCGCCGCGAAGCGCATCGTGCCGGAGAGACTGAGCGGCTGCTTCTTCCTGGGCCTCCAGCTGCGCCACCCCGAGCCCTGACGAGGGGGGCTGACAGGCGGGTACCGGCTCAGGGGGTCGGAGACTACGACCTGGAATTGGCGACGACTCCAGGGGGCCGAGCAATAGCATAAACCTGACAACTCGGAGGTTCGCGCGGACATCCGGGTTGTATGATTTTGCCGTCGCCTGTCCCCGAACACTGCCGACAGAGAGGATGTGTTGTGTATATATACATACATACATACAAGTCTATACACATATATATATATATACATTTATATGTATGTACAGACATACATCCATACATACATGCATGCATGCATGCATGCATACATACATACATACATACATCCACACACACATGCATACACGTGTTCATACATACATGCTGCATGGGTGCACGCATACATACATACATACATACCTATCTACCTACCTACCTACATACATACATGCATGCATGTATGCATGCATGCAAACACACACGCACATCTCAGTTTTATAAACATATGTATGGCTACGACCGATCATCTGGCTGGCAGAATTTTTTAGACGCATTCGTCGCCGATCGTTGGGGGTCCTCAGGTCCCCCCGAGCTTCTGTGGGCCCCTGGGATCGTCGGGGGAAACGTAATGTCCGTGGAACGCCTGCTGGCAGGCCGATTTCGTGAGCCGATGAGAAGCGAGGGTAGGTCTCGGATTTCGCCACGTGCGCGACGAATTCCGAACCCCACC